CCCTTTTTGATGACGCCGTATAGAAATCCATCAGATGTGGTACAAAGGCGATACAATGATAAACACTGTAAGGCTCGAAACATCATTGAGCGCTGCTTTGGAGTTTTGAAGAATAGATTCCGAAGTATAATTGGCTCAAGAGGGCTTCATTATTCCGCAGAGAAGACAACGCAAATTGTGAATGCATGTTGTGCAATTCACAACATCTGTATATTTTACAAAAATTATTTGTCCCTCACCCCATTCGAAGCTGAAGACGCTATTGAGCCAAATGATGAAGACCTAGTACTTGAGGATCTTTCTACAGTAGCAGCTAATATAAGAACACAAATAGCAAACAATTTATAATAAAATTTCTCCAAATACACTTTTATTCACAGAATTGATAACATTTTGTGTTCATTAATATTAATCTATACTACTATTATTATAAACATAAAAAAACTTTGGTTAAATTCAGTCAAATTAATTAATTCTATTCAGTTCAATACTATTGCTAAAAAATTATAAACAGCCAATTCATTTTAGGTACAGTGAGTGTTCTTGCCATTTGTTCAGCAAAGATAAATTTTTTTAATCAAGATGTCAAAAAAGAATAGACTCGAGAGTTTAACAAAACCGGTGCCCATTTGTTCAACCGTAATTTTTAATTCGCTAATTGATTATAAAAAATATGACTCACACTACAACAATAACTTCAGAAATCAGAGCTTCAAATTTTTTGCTAACTTTAGGAAAACTGCAAATTGCTATCAAAATTGTGCTCTTTTTAATCGAAGTTTTCCAATAAAAATGTGATTGAATAGTGGACAGTTTTGAGGAAAATTTTCGGAACGTTCCTAAATTTTGCAAAAAGTTTGAAGCTCTGATTTCTGAAATTATTGTTGTAGTATGAATCATATTTTTATACAAACTTAGCAAATTAAAAATTTTCGTTGAACAAATGGCCACAGTTTTTTTTTAACTCCGAGTCTATCCTTTTATGAATTACTGTACACTTTGATTTAACAAAATTATCCGCCGTCAAGTGGCTTAAATAAAAAAATATATATAAAAAGGGAACTAAACAAATTTGTCTTGCAAACTTTCAATGGCCTGTGCTTGCCTGATTGTGATCTCGAGCAACTCTTTAAGCGTTTCTGCTATGGATCTGGTGGATTCAGCCTGAATCATAGCCGCTTCTGCCATTTTTTGCGCAGCTTCAGCTTGAATTTTCGCTGCAGAGGCTTGCTCCTTCGCTGACTCGGCTATAAGCTCCTGGAAAGTTCTCTTCCGGCTGCTTTGTGGCGCTGATGCTGCGGCTATATGCCTTTTTGGTGTAGTGGACTGCTGTCTGGTAGGTGTCACAACCCCAATTAGTGCAGCTGTGCGGACCGGAGTAGTGACAACTATTGGGATCAGCTCCTCAGGTGATGGTGGTTGAGGTGATTGGTCAAGCTCTGGTTCTGAGCGTACAACCACTTGCCTTACACCGAGAACTGTACCACTTGGTGTGGCCGCTTTTGACACCAGCAAGATCCGGTCGAAAGCCGGAATGGTCCACCACCTGTGGCATGCATGCTGGACGCATTTTCCGCAATTTTCTTCTTTGTGCGGCTTTTAAGATCAGCCCAAATCTGGAAAAACATTACAAGCTCAATGTTTGATACAATTTACTATTTATAAAAAGGAGTTACCTTTTCCATTCGGTAGCTGTTCTTTGTGGAGGTCCATGTGCGTTTAATTTATTGGCTAATTCATTCCACTGCAGTTCTACCAGGCTCTTACTCGCACCAAACATTGGAGCGCCTTTTGCCAAGTCTGGATTTTTCTCCAGCTCTTTTACCAGCACATCGAACTGAGCACTGGAAGTTTTTTTAAACACTGTAAAGTATACCAAAAAATGAATTATAATAATACGAATCTTTTTTCGATTATTTCCTGCCTTTTTTGCTTGAATTATCCATTTTAGCGGCTCACACGATAGCAAAAACTCTTTCGTTTGAATTTGACTCTTTTTTTCTTTATTTGAAGTCGTATTCGTGTTAGAGAATTCACATTTGTTACGTTTTCGTCACATAACAATCAGCTGTTATCGACTAGTTATCGCCAGGGTAGCGAATTCGTGTTAGGTAGTACAAATACACGAACAAACGGCTGTTTGGATGAGACGAACGCTCGTTTCGAGATAGAGAATCAGGCTGTAAGTCTAGCGCCTTATATAACCAGCATCGAATAAATCCATGATTCAATAATAGAAAGGTTTTGTAATAAAACAGTCTTCTCGCTCCCACACATAAAATCGGCTCCTTTACTTGTGCAGAATGTTGCTTACTCTACAGTTTCTAGTGATATTAGTAGTAAAACCAAAAATTCGTCATACTAAATGTAATTTTCTAGAACAAGTGTAGAATAGTGACCGTTTAGCTATAAAATAACCAAAAATGCCGATAGATAGAACTTTTTACGCTGATTACAACGATACCTAATTTGGCGCAGGCAAAAAATAACGAAGAGGTTTATTTGCTTTGTTTATTTGTATTTTTTATTATCACTGAATTGTTTATTCTGCGCTGGGAATAAAAAGTTTGTAACCGGTAAATAAAGTTCCTGTCAATTTTAAAACCTTTTTCGCATTCTTTATACTCTTGTAACCGGTAAATTTTGTTACCATCTCATAAGCTGGTAACAAATTATTGCCCCGTGAAATATTCAATGCCAGGATTTGCACAATTCTTCATAGCTGAATTGCTGAATATTTTAATTGCATTACCAATGTACCTAGAATCGCGGTGACAAGAACTGGTAACATTTTTTGGTAATACAATTTTTCGGTTACAAAATCTTTGGTAACGTGCAGAATAGACCTCTTAGTGGTTTTGGTTTAAAAAACAAGAAGCTATAAATTATGTACACCAGCTGAAAGACAAATTAGTTATCTTTATGGTGGCGTCATTCGTTTTTTATCGGTTATACTTACAGTTCGTAAGATATTAATATTTAAAAAATTTAAAAACTGAACTTTAACCTTCTAGAACGTCTTAATTTTTTTTTTGCGCCAAATAATTTTGGCATGTTTGAAATGAGCATAAAAACTTCTATTGATCTGCAGTTTTCCTTTTTGCATAGCTGAACGGTCGGTTCCAGGAAATGATGAACATATTTATGTATTGTTTAGTATTTCCATTAAAACACCAAATATATTGCAAATTTGCATAGAATAAATAATACACATTTTACTTCTAATTGTATACTTTGCGTAATTTTTGTAGTACCTTTCTACGACCGTTTTCGCAAAAGCGATCACATTCTTCCCCTTTCTCCTACTTCCAAAGTACAAATCTGGATAAAGGAGTGTCAAATTTTAGCTGTCACAAATTACGCAACCTTGTATTATTGAATCATGGTATAAATCCACATTTCATACTTTGTACAAAAATTAAAAAAACCAAAGAGATTTACCAATTTCCCAAAATATTTAAAACTTTGCCTTGATGTTAAATATTTTTTTGTTGACGGTGCCAGGTATTTTCTTCCATATAATAGTCGTTTCGAACATACTTTACGTGGAAGAAATTACATAGCACCGTCAGCAAAAATAAAAATATTAAAAATTCTAGCGTTTTGAAACTTGCTATTTGTCCTACTAAATTCAATGGTCTAAAACAATTTAATTTGAATTCAATTTTTACAAATTTTGTACAAAGTGTGAAATGTGGGTTTATACTTTTATAAAAAAATAAACATTATAAACAATATAAAAACAGGCAAAACTGGTCAAAATGCAACTAACCTAATTAGCTGACCACTAGGGTACATCCTTTAATTTAAGCATTTATTACTATTATTATTTTTTAAATAATTCAATTAACGCTTACTCAAATTTAAAAAACAATTGCGTGTTCGTTTATTTTCTTTATATTAAGTATTTTCTATATATGCATATTTCAGTCCAAAATTCATTAAATTCAATAAAATTAAGACGCTGTTCTACAGCTTGAAATACATAACCTACAACTTAAATACCTAATTTATTTACATTAATAATAAATGAAAAATTAAAACGCTGTTCTACAACATGTACACTTACGCTACAGCTTAAATACCTAATTTATTACCATTAGCAATAAGTAAAACAATAAAACGCTGTTCTACAGCTTGAAAACTTAACCTACAGCTTAAATATCTAATTAATTTAAATTAATCATAAATAAAAACAATAAAATTCTGTTCCACAGCTTGAAAACTTAACCTAAAGCTTAAATACCAAATTTATTTACATAAGTAAAAAACAACGCGCTGTTCTACAGCTTGGAAAACTAAACCTATAGTATATGACCATTGAATTACAATGTACCGTTTGTTTACATTTTTACGTTTAACTGATTTTTTGAACTTTCATATTTTTTTTAATAAAAATATAGTAAATTCAATAACATAGACCACATATATCGTTGCTTCAAACTTTGTGGAAAATTCGCGAAAAATCGGCTAATTACGAAAAACTCATCAAAATTTAAAACTTATCAGAATTTTTAAAAAACTTTTTACTACGCATTTATATAGCCTTAAATTTTAGTACCATAAAATGCAAGTTTGAAGTCGGTAAAAATTCGCGGTTAATTTTTCGCGGTAAAGTATGTCGGCATTTTTTTATGTTGAAGAAAGTACATTACACCTTAAACCAAAGATATATTCGAAAAATCAAACGCGGATTTCGACCGACTTCAAACTTGCATTTTATGGAACTGAAATTGAAGGCTATATATCTGCGTACGTAAATATTTTCTAATAATTCTGATAAAAGCTTTTAAATTTTGATCACAGCCTTTCGTAATTTGTTGATTTTTCGCGACTTTCGCACAAAGTTTAAAGCAACGATAGATGTGGTATATTTTTATAAAAGAAATATGGAAGTTCAAAAAATCAGTTAAACGTCAAAATATAAACGTCTGAGTACCGTTCATAATTCATTGGCAACATACCGTAAAGCTCAAATATCTATATTTCTACGATCACTCCGAGAACAATCACCTTTGTAGAAGTAAATCCAATTTATTTAAGATATTGGACAATACGTCGGCCTTTCTCTTTTCTATAGAGTTTCTTTTCTCCAGCGCCGCAATTTTTCTTTCCGCCAAGACGACTCTGCGTTCTTCTAATTGTATCATTTTGGCGTTGCTCTCTTCTAAAGAGTAATTTTTGCGTTTGGGAGCCCGACGTTGTGGTGGAAGTGGATCCTGAGGAACCACATCCGGTGCCATTTGCGGTTCCTCATCGCCTCCTTCAAGAAACTGTAATAAAAAGTTAAATAAAAACAGAGACAATCATAAGGCGTATGTACATACCTCTATCTCAAAGTGGTCCACAGAGGCGTCAAATAATTCCACGCTAGTTACTGCGCCGGAACTTCTCTGTAATTAAAAATTACGAGTATCGCCCAGTTGTCGAAATTCGACATCTTTTTTCATACACTTTTGAATTTTACCTGTCACCAATACTAACTCCTTTATGCGAATTACTGAAGTCCACCAGTATAATTTATAGCAAATTTACAGGAAGACTTAAAATCAAATTATGAAAGCTAACACCGGATTGATTAATGCTAAGTCTACGGAGTCTCCTCCAAATTTCTTCAGCAGTTTTTGAAAATAGACCGAGAAAGAAACTTCGATTTTCATTTATAAAAGATATGCATATGTATTGTATGTATAGATGAGATGTTCATCACTGACTAATATGTCAAACATATACCAATTCAGACTGTATATAAGCTCTTTCCATTATATTTGTCTGAGAGCCTCTTGCAGGTTAAAAACTAAATTGCGCACATCTACATAAACTCTCTCTTTTTTCATCAGAATCGTTAACGGTAGAGAAAGTATCTTGAAGGTTTACAACAAAAGATAATATTTCCTTCTCTAACGGCGATTTCACACTGGTTTTCATCAAGACTGGGCCAGAGCCCAATATTTTTCATCACACGATTGGGCTACCGAGTTATGTTACTAATATGTGTTCTAAAAGTGAAACAAATCTGATCATATATATGATTTTTTTGGATAGCTCTCAATCCCTGCGCCACCTATCGGAAGACAAACACACAGATCCTTCTAAAAACTTTTGCACAAAACAGCAATCATTTAATGCGATTATAAAATCTGGGAGAAAATGGTTCCCAATTGAATGATTCTTGCGATTCTATATGTGTATAAATGTAGGTCTGTAAAATTCCATTACCTTATGATAAGTGGATCCAGAGATAACCAATATGAGAATTTCAGTTTGTATGGGCGGTGCCACGCCCCTTTTCCAAAACCTACCACTCTTCGCCATAAGTACGGCAATGGCAACATATGTTGCTGTGTCAATTTTCGGGACGTTAGCATAAGTGGTTTCAGAGATAAGCCATATTTCACTTTGTATTGGCGGTGCCACACCTCTTTCCCATTATCTACCACTTTTCGCCATAAGTATTTTATTGTTATCATAAATAGCTGTGTCAAATTTCAGGACGTTAGCATAAGCGGTTCCTGAGATAGGCGATATGAGAATTTCAGTTTGTATGGGCGGTGCCACTCCCCCTTTTCCAAAATCTACCACTTTTTGCCGTAAGTACGGTATTGACAACATATGTTGCTGTCTCCAATTTCAGGACGTAAGCATAAGTGGTCCCAGAGATAAGCGATATAAGAATTTGAGTTTGTATGAGCGGCGCCACGCCTCCTTTTCCAAAATCTACCACTTTTTGCCGTAAGTACGGTATTGACAACATATGTTGCTGTGTGAAATTTTAGGACGTTAGCATAGGCGGTTCCAGAGATAAGCGATATGAGAATTTCAGTTTGTATGGGAAGTGCCACACCCACATCCCCAATACCTACAATTTTTCACCGTAAGTAGGGTATTTACAATCTATGCGTCTGTGCTAAGTTTCAGTTCTCCAGCATAATTGGTTTTAGAGATATAGTGGTTTTCACATTTTAGTCTATATGTCAGATGCCACGCCCCCTATGTATCGCGACTAACATTTGTGGATTAGAGCAAGTTATATCCTTTAATTCGGTGTATGTTTCATTGAAATCGAGCGAACGGTGCCTTCAGAAAAGGGATTGCAAAATTTTCTTGTGGCGTATTTATATATAGATTATATAAATTATAGATATATACATATGTAGGTATGTTCAAACTACAAAAACATTTTGATCGAATTCGAATCTATGGATAGAAATAATTTATAAATGGAAATGTTCTTAACTCACCAGTGGCTCGCTAACTTCTCTTTGACCGACCACTGCCACTGTGGTCATCACGCCAATGATGTTCTCGTCGAGGTTACTGAGATGCTTTTCGGTAATTGATGAATTTACCCCGCTTCGCTCCATAGCATTTCTCAAATCTTGGGATTTTTGTTTGGCCTTGCTCCTATCATTAATCGAAAACAATTTTAAGAATCTTAGTGCTACTTATGTACATTTTCAAAACATATTTACCTCATATTTACCCGCGCTCTCTTCCATCCTTCACCATCTTTCATGGATCCTCCGTAAGCATTTAATTTTTCGGCGAGGTGGTTCCACTGCTCAGCTAAACTTTTGCTCCCGGTGCCATTGACGAATCTTAAAAAATAAAAACTTAAACAAAATCATTTACGGGAAAATGTTTTGCATACCGGTCGTGAGCAAATTCTCTATGATCCTCCAAATATTGAACGAGCATATATTTTTGATCCTTCGTCACTCTTTTGCTATTGCGGTTTTCCATATTTTGCTATTAATTAAACAATTTCTTTAATATAAAAGAGTATTTTTAACAAAAAACAATATAAGCATTACCTTTTTTGTCGCGTTATTTTTTTAGCACAAACTTTTTCTAGTCGCCAAATTCGCAGAATTTTAAGCCAACAATGGAGATTTGTAGCAATGGAAAAGACGCTGGAGTCGCCATTTTAGCTGATGAGCTGTCAAAATCTGTTCACTCACTTTATCCGGGTTCATTTTGTTCATCGCTAAAACCCACCAAAAAAATGAACCAAAAATTAAACTTTTTAGAGATGATTTTTTAAGCGCGAACCGCAAAAATCTCCCAAAATTGCAAAAATCCATTTAGTATTTTTTTGCGATGGAGTTTTAGCGATAGCGAAAGCTGGAATCCGGTTGCTGCTAGGATTATCATATGTGTATGTATTTATCAACACATGTTTACGTTTGTCTCGTTGTGTTTTTACTTAAGTAATAATGTTAGTTTTTAGTCTTAGAATTAGTTGTATTTTTCTTTTTCTTTTATTTTTTTTACTTATTGTTTTCCTTTTGTTGCTTTATGTTTGTGCTTTATAATTACTGTTGTACTATAAAAGAGCTTTAATATCTTATTTTACTAATGAATTTGTTTAATAAATGAAATTAAATGAAATGGAAACAGTGCCGGCATTCATATGGCTAGCTTACAGCCCTATTCGCGTGCAATGACAAAACTCGCCGCTATAACTATTGGCATGTTTACAAACAATTGTCACGTTTAGGTATGCAGAGGGCAATTTGAAAGCTCCAGCGGTGACAATTGCTATTATTTTTGTGATGACCTATTGAGTACGTGACAACGCTAAAACATATGTTAATATTGTCAATTTTATTAATTTTGCAGAAAAAAATTGCAAAAATTTTACTAAATGAAAACTGTGAAACCACTTTATTTGCCTAAATAGGTGTGTTAAACAGTTATTATTTGCGTATGCATATCATAATATTATTCATGGAGGAAATAATTATTATGTACGCGGCTATTGTGGAGCAGGCAAAAATTACACAGAGAAGAAGACTTCTGATGGAACTCCGAGACAACAGTTTTTTTGGACAGTTTTTACATGTTTGCTGTTAGGGGTGGTCTTCGCAAAACTGCAGCTGCTCTTGTGTGGTGCATTCATATTTTCCACGCGTGTTACTACACGAATTCATAACAAAATTTAATAAATTTTCCTATTATAAAATTACTCACTTTTCCGGTGTTCCGTAATCCACTGCTGTGGTGTATTTTATTTAAAAGAAATCCCTTTTGTTGCAGTGGCGGTCAAAAAGAACAAATTAAAATATAAACAAAGAACAGCTGTTTCACCATAGAGAAACTTTCGCCGGAATTGGCAAATAAAATGAGCTTTTCGCTTGTCATTATTGACTGTGTATACCTATGACAACAGCTGATGACACGATAATGACAATTGAACTGTGACAATAGACGACTGTGACAACACGTGGATATGGCTGTTAGAGTGAAAAGTTGCTAAATCCATTTATAAAAATTTTCCGTTCCGTTGCAAATTAAAATATTTAGATTTTTTGTGAGCTTATCGAATTTTATGTGTTTCTTTTGGACTTAGTAGATTTGCCTTAAATTGAATACAAACGGAAAGAAATAAAACAAGCACGTTAGGTAATCCTTTTGGAGAAGTTGCGTTTAAAATGGACTTAGATTAGATGGAAGTGGGTCTTTCTTTGGAGGACCTTCTTTTCGTTGGCAACTCAACTGCCAAAAATTTTTAACTATTCATGAGTTTGTTGAATTAAAAAATAATAGTCCGGGAATAAAATTGTCACTGAATCGAGTTTCGATACAAGTACTTTCTTCCGATACCTACTCAGTATTTGGTTCAAAAGTATCGATACGAAAATTGCTTGGTATCGGACGAAAAGTATCGAGTATGTACTTGTATTTACTAGTATCGTTTTGACCCTGTTGGGAATAACAATCCACAAATGATTTTTCTTACAACGCAAAGAATACTTTTTATTATTTGTTTACACACTTAGAATTAGTCGCAATTAGTTTTTGCGGATCAGATATAAGTGGCACGTAAAAAAGTCTAGAAAATTCTAACCACCACCGTGGGAAATTTATAAGTTTAAAACTTGCAACCGAAAAGAGGAAAAACTTATGAATAAGTGCATAAAGAGAATAGTAAAAGTCCCATCCAAAAGGTAAGTGTTGCCAGATGCTTCGACTGTGTTCCCACAACCCTAACTGGGCAGCAGTGTTGCCATGTCACAGAAGTGAGAAATCGTCAGATTGGTTATAATAAATCGTCATTTGCATGTAAAAATCGTCAACATATAAAAAATTCAAATAAACAGAACAGGAAGCTCTTTTGAGCTTTTTCCGATTTTTGATATACTGAGCCCTGACGGCCAACATAACGTAAGCGACATTTTTTTCAAATTTTCTTTTTGATGCAGAAATGCATCTCTAGGAATATTTCTGCATCAAAAAGGAAATTTAAAAAAAATATCGCTTACGTTATTTTGGCGGTTAGGGCTCGATACGTAAAAAATAAAAAGTTAAACGTTTTTACGAATTCTTAAAATTCACATTACTTTTAAAAAAAAATTTTCAATTGCAATAAAATCGCATTTTCTTCTTCATTTTTAGATCATTAATGCCCAGCTGCACCAATCAATTTTAAATTTATCAGCCAATTTCGTTCGGAAAATTAAACATTTTAAATTTTAAGTCTGATAAATTTAGAATTGATTAGTGAAACTTTGGATAAGACGTATAACATTTTTTTTCACAAAGTTTTTCTCTAGTATATATTATGTTTAACAGCTTTCTAGAAAAATCACAAGAATTTGTTTCATTCTTTTTGTTGCTTGAAAAAGAACTTTGCCGTTGGTGTAAATTTTCTTGAAGAACTAAATATGCGAAAGTTTTTTTCTGGAGATCTTCAGACTGATTTAAAAAAGTTGTATAGAAGAAAATTCCTTTTTATTTCTTGAGTGTGATTTTAGGTACAATATTTAATGCTACATTTCATTTTTGAAACTTTTAAGTATATCGGTGTTTGGATAAAACTCAAAACAATAACAACCATTACCTCTTTTAATAAGTCCCGCGTGAACAAAATTCCCTGAAGAGTTGAGTTTTCTTGCAAAGAGCATCTTCTGACTCGACAGCTGAGGTAAAGAGAACATCAAATATTTGCAGACTGCAACTTTACCATGTGCATTATAAACTGTTCATACCTACAAGTCTTACTTAATAATTTATTCATAATTTCCTTCGCTCAATAAATAGAAACAGATATCCCATTGAAAATTATGTCAAAAAGCTGCAACTAACTTTAAAGTCGACTTTATTTTGACTATGACTACGGGCCAATGTCTATGGACTAGTGATGTGCTGAGTCAATACTTTAAAGTATTGATCGATATTCGGTACCGATTTAAAAAGTATCCAATACTCTCGATACTCGGTACCGAAACATTTAGGTTTCGAATAAAAGCGCACATAGGCCAAAAATATGGAAAAAACGGTTCAGGGGAGACTCGCCTATAAAAACCCGAATGTAGGAGCCAATAGAGCTTTTAATACGGATTCAAATGAAAGATGTTTGAAACATTTTTGTTCCAGCTGAATCGGACGATATCATTTTTGTAGGCCTGGGCGCAGATTCTGTAACCAGTTAGCGACAATTTTCGAATCGGCATCGGTTTTGTTGACGTATGATATGAAATATTTTTACGTCAACAAGTGCGATATCGATCCGAAACTTGTCGCTAACTGGTTACAGAATCTCCCCCCTGAAAGGCTTCTTCATCCGTAAAAGCAGTAAAAGCATTTTTCTTGAACCTTAGATCAACTAAGATTAAAACTGATAAAATAATATTTCTCTGTTCCGATAAGTTCAAGTGTTTTAGCCGATATCATATAAATTAGTAATTAAAGTTTTTTCTAAACTTGAAATGCATATAATGGCGAAGGTTTAATGTAAAGAATCGGTATCGGGTACCGAAAAGGAAGTATTGGGTACCGAAATCTTTTTTAAGTATTGGGTACCGAGTATTGGGTACCGAAAATTCGGTACATCACTACTATGGACACGTGTCAGTCACCATCAATCCGCGATTTTCACGGACTGAAAAGAACGAGGTCATGGATAACTAGATATGAAACTCTTTTTCTCGTGAGAGCGCTGTCAAAGTGTATTTTTTATAACATTATCCAGTAGAGCCACTGTGACGAAAACATGTATGAGCATTTGTAGAGAAATTTATGGAGAAACTTTTGATTAAACACAACGAACAAAAGTTACAATATTCTTCAAACCTATTTTATATTTCACTGTTTATATTGCCAGGAAAATTGCGTTTAGTTACAAATACTGTTTTATAGTAATATTAAAAAATGCGGGAAGAAGAAATCCACTGAATTCAATGTGATGCATTTTCCACACATTTAGTGGTAGCTCGCCACTTCGCGTGCCAGCTGTTTATCTGCCCAGGGATTGGCAGTGCTGCCAAGTACGAAAACGAGTTCCTGGGCGCGCTCTCAGAAAAAATGAGAGAGTTTCATATCTAGTTATCCATGACCACGATTGAGAGAATACAAAGGTTGCGCCGATCTCGGACCGCTATTCCTCTCTTAACTAATTTGACAGAATCGTTGTTTGCATGACGTCACACTTGTGCAACTTATTTACGTTTTCCTTGCAACATTTTTTCTTCTTCTTCCATTCTTGCTCACGTTTTGGCATTTCTCTCTCGCAATTGCACCAGTGTGACGTCACACAAAAGTTATTCTCTAAAATCCTCTCTGATCGGCGCAATCTTGTATTCTATCATTCTTGTCCATGACGAGGTAAACTCCAACTCTCTTCCCCTCTTATACACACAAAATCAGTTTTAGGCGGATTGAGCAGTCCAGTGTGTAGAAGCCCAATGTGAAATTAGCAATTTCATTTGTGGAAATAACTGATCTCGTCTTATAATAGCTTTTAATTCATTTTTAAGGGAAAACTTCGCGAGAGCGTTATTATCTAGGTGGGCTTTCAACCCCCAAAATTGGTCAAAATTTTGGAGGGTACCATTAGACGCCTCTGGACTCCAATAACAAGGATCCGAAAGCGGAAATTAACTTTTTTCACCCGATCAAAAGTTATTAACAAAAAACTTTTCCACAATAGCACCTTTTTTATTCACTTAATACACACACACAAGCGCACAAATCGCCCATATTTCACCATACATACAACAACAGTACTTCATTTTAGCCACATATATCAAAATAGCGGTAAATATATCACTAAAAACTTATATATTTTATTTATTATAATGCAAACAATTTTGGCGTGCTTAATGCAAAATCCACCTGCTGATGTGCGGTATTGCCACTCAATCTGAATGGAATAAATATTGAATATGTTTACATGGAGTTCAGACTGTTATGTGGGATAATTAATTGTGGAAATAACTAAACAGTTAAAAATTGTCATTATATATGGAAGTATCGATAGGATATCGCGCGATTTTTTATTACAAATTTTTATTATATATGGAAGTATTGATTTTTATAGGAAAAAGCGCCGCAGGCGAAAATTTGTAACGGTATAATCTTTTTCGGGGGGAAATACTATTTACTGGTGTTATTGTAGTTCAAAAAATTAGTAGTTCCATAAAAATTAATACTTTGATAAATAATGAAAATTTTTAATAAAAAATCGTGCGAACCCATTGACAATATGCTTATTTGAAAATTAATACACGAAATATTGTGCATGTATAGGATTATTTTGTCATTAACCCATAGGCAATGACTGGTGCAAAAGTACCCCCAAATGTTTGTTGATATAT